TGGGGGTGCGGCTGCGCGCCGAGCTGGACCGGGTGCGCGTCGCCGGTGCGGTAGCCCGCCGGCAGTTCGGCCGTGTCGCCGACGCCATACTTGGATCTCAGGGGAATCGCGCGGCGGCTCGCCCAGGAGCGGCCGTACACCCTGGACACGGGGGGAAGCGGTCAGTGCTCTCGTGGGATTGGCACGGCCGTGTGGACTCACGAAGCGGCCTCGGCGGAGGTGGAGAGCAGGGCGACGGCGGCGACGGCGGCAGCAACAAAGGACATGGAGGTGCGCATGTTGGGCGGTGGTCAGACGGAAGTCGTAAAAGCGTAAATGAACGGATTAGTCAGAGCGTAGAGTTGAATGCGACGAAGGGCGAGGCTGGAGGACGGGCTGTGAGCTGAGCGGCTCGTGGGTGAGATGGGAGGAGGACTTACTAGCCAGTACCAAGCTTGGAGTGAGAACCAGGAGCTGAGGGCTGGGGAAAGGCGAGAGGATCCGTGCTGTTTATATAGCTGCAGGATGCAGATTGCCGCTGCGGGCAACGGACAACACAGCCCTCTGGCGCCGGTCGCCATCGCCGTTGGCAGTCGGAGAACGCAGTTGGACTGCAAACCCCATCTCGCTGTCGTGCATCGTTCGTGTGGCCGGATGTTGAGCCAGCCTGCAGCGAGTGCCTTCAAGAGGAGGCCGACGCTCAACGAGCCGCTGCGAATGCCGAGTCGAGCTCGCACTGGCACCCATCGCCGCAGACGGTGTTCCGGCCTTTGGCCTTTGTGGCACTGCCTTGGTGTTTCACCGAGTCCATATGATCATCTCGCTGTGAGCACCGGTGCACGATGGGGAAGGCGACGCGGCCTGCATCGTGCAGATCGCAACTCCAATGTTCGGTGCTGGGATGCTATACTGATTCCACAACGAACTGTTCATTGCTGTGTACGTGCACAGACGCGCAGACATATTCTATCTTGGTCTCAGCAGGCCAAGGCTGCTGTCAGGCCCATCGGGTGCGCGTCGATAAAGCTCATCTCATCGCGCGCAAGCCCTCCAATCGCCTCGCCTCGCATCACAAAGGCAGGACATTCAGATCCCCCGAGAGGCTCCAAGTACGCTACGGACCGTCGGCTGAGGATAATCGGTCCCGTTCAAAAGCTTGCACGTGGCTTCCAAGCCTCTGCGAGGACGGCGGATAGCTATCCCCCATCTGATGCAATCGCGCAGTGCGAGGAGTATAAATCAAAACACCCCCGCACCCTCGCCTCCCAGCACGCGCCGTCTCGCACCATGTCCACTCGCATAGGCTTCATCGGGCTCTCTGGTTCCGGCAGCGGCTGGGCCGCGGGG